ATATAATAACAAAGTGACTCCCATAAAAATCAATGTATATTATATGCAAGTTGCAATACACCAAAATGTAATCCACTATTCTGTGCAATATACATGAATTTTAAAATCATTTTCAGATTCTATATATGTGGAAAGATTTATTAACTACCTTAATGTTTTCATTCAGGTATCTATCTAGCAAAGATTAAAAACTCCAGTTGTTTTTGGTTACAAGAAACAGGCTAGTGAAAAAGAAATCTTTCTCCATCAGAATTAGATGAACACACAAACACACACACACACACACACACACACACACACACACACACACAGACAGACTCACTCACACATATGTCCAGATTCACTACAGCCAGTTATTTCTTGCCAAAATTCCACTATTTGAATTCAGCATTTTAAATAATATATTTGGATGATTAATGTCAACAGATTGCTCCCTAAGTTTCCATTGATCTTCAGTTCTATGGATTTGATCTCCTCTCATCCTTGGTCAGATCAAGACACAGGTTTTATTTCCACCCTGAGACAAGCTGACCTCAGGAAGACCTTCCTTGGTCCAGGAGTTGATATTGCCATGCTCCATCATCCATTATGCCCTACACAATTGTGTTTCAATTTTCTACTTATTTTTGCCTATGACTGAGATGCTGGTACAGAACATATTCAATGTATCTCTAAATTTTGGTATTACGTTTACTGAATCATGTTCTACCTCAGTCAGTATTCATGTTTGTTATACAAGGTTAAAAGGACTCTGTGGCACAGGCTATGTTAGAGATGGAAACAGCCTCCTTATTCTCTCAAAACACAGTCATGGGTATTATGTATGTCCATCTGCAGATGTTCTGGAAACTTGAAGTTTAATTGCTACCTTATAAATGCTTCTTTCTGTACTCAAATCATGAACTTCACACTTTGCTTCCAAAACATTCAGTAAATGTAGAGTAATCATGACTGTCTGAGTCAAAAGTAGAATGAAGATTCAGGAAAAAAATACCTTTCTATATAGAAACAGCAGATGGGCCTGTAGACTACAAATGCACCAATGAAGTCACCATAAAGAGTGTCAAGACATGGAACTGTAGAATATTTGCTAAATGCGTGCCACTTTCCATGGAAATGATATTGCAGCTGGAACAGGACAGGGTACTGAGGCCTCAACTGCCAGTCAAGCCTCATGGCACACATCTGAAGGAATCAGGTGGAAGCCAGTACACAGATCAGGTCACAAACTTCACATATTTATAAGGAGACTCCAACTTCATCAGATAACATCTAGCCTGTCTGTCTCCATCTCAGAGCACCTTATCCCACACTTGCATTTCTAGCCTCTAGGTTGTTTCCTTGTGTATTTGATTCCTGCTCTCTGAGGAAATCATCCAGCAACCAGGCTCCAATTCTAGGGTCTTTTGTCAACAGGTGACCATGGGTCCAAAACATGGTAGCAAAAATATAAAGGAAGACTCCGTAAAATGAATTGTCCTCATCTCCCTGGCCCTCTTTCCAGTTGACAATGCACACAGCCTTCCTGCATCACCCAATAGCTGGGGATAAAAGACCAAATATTTGAGATTAAAGGGACAGATAAAGTGATCCAAAACCTACACTGATGAGCAATTTGACAGGTGCCATTCCTCAATTACATATGGGCTACTGCAATGCTCCACAAGGGCATTAGTACACTTAAAATGAGGTTTCTCTGTTCTTTACAGAGCTGGTATTGACTAACTGTATTTTTTGCAAGTTTACCCCTACTTGCAGTAAATAGAATGGAAACTATACTCCAGTAAATTCAGATTATGTAGTATGGAAATGATTCCTAAACGGGGGGGGAGGAGGTGAGAACAGGCCGGATATACTCAGTGTGTGAGATGAGGCCCATCGTTTTACTGCCTTATGAGAAAACAATGCCTATTTCAACTTTTCAGGACAGATGTTGGAATCCAGGACATATATACAGACCTATCTCCTCAGCATTATTTTTCATTTGCAGACATGTTTTCACTATGATTCCAAGTTACCAAGCCTGGGTTTAAATTGCAAACTTGAAAACCACTTGCCTCAGGTTCCCAGATTGCTTAAATCAAATGAAATCACCTACTTTCCTATATCTGAAACATTTTATTAAAAAATAATAAAACATTAAAATTAGAGAATATAAATATGAACTACATTGTAGTAATTCATCAGCAATATTCTATATCAAGATCAAGTGTGCAGAAATGCCAACTGCCTCAATGTATATTACAATATTGGAGAGTAATATATTTCACACATGGAAACTTACACAAATAACATTTTATACATGTTTACAATTTTAGAGTATATTGAAAAATGTACACAAGTGAATAATTAAATAGTACTAAATACAGAAATTAGCATAATAACCACAATATAATCAGAATCTTGTGAATGTTTTCTCTTTCTATTCATATCTCATACTGTCTTGCACTGAACCTTCTTGTCAGGTTGTGACATCACGTGATGGCTCTCAAATGAAGCAACAACGTGATGGCATCTCAAATGAAGTCAAATAATGACTCCATGTGACATCAGATGTATTTACGCTACTGAGAATGAAACATGACTTAGACTTTCTCAACATTTATTTCTGAGTTTTATTTTAATATCATAAGATGCTGCTGAAATGCTACTGTGGAACATGTGCCTAAGTGGATATTATGAGGGTTTAGCAGTGCCATGCCCCAAAGACTGTACAGAGAGCAGCAAAAGTGGTGTATTATTATCCTCCATGAAATTTATTGCTAGAAATATAATGCTACAGCCTGGGCATGAAGGTGTATGCTTGTAATCTCAGGACTTGTAAGGCTAACACAAGAGGATTGCTGGAAGTTCAAGATCAGCCTGGACTACAAATGGAGCCCAAGGTTAGCCTGAAGTACAAAGGGAGCTCATGACAAGCCTGGCCTACAAAGTGAGCCCAAAATCAGCCTGAACTTCATAGCAAGTTTGTTTCAGACAAAACAAAACTAATGGTACGACTCTCATGCATTGAATTCATGCAGTTGTAGTTGTTACCTTATTTATTGCACACTGGTGATTCTTTCTTTCTGGTGTCATGATATAATATCATTTCAATCACTCACTGGTACTATTCTGGCAATCATATTCCATGCATTTTCTTTGAACCCTAGGAACTTATGTGAAATCATGATTCACTTGCATACTCAGGATATTACTATTTATAAATGACTGCCTTAATCTTAGAAGGATGGTGCTTACATTTGTAGAAAAGTACATGATGTGTAATAGGCAGTAGGAGCATACTTCTTTCAAAATAGAGATGATCAAAAAGAGAAAAAACATAAATTGGGCATGTTAAGGCAACAATAATGAACTCACACCTATTATACACACTGTTGCCTTCCAAAGATGAACACTTACATTGTGAACTAAAAACAGGCACTAATGCATTTATACATATTTTAAATTTTCTTTTGCGATTATCTTATCATAAGCATACATGCATAGTTGCATTTCATGAGCTCTTGTGAAGGACACTGATGCTGTGTTTGTGAAGATCCTTTTACATGAAATAATTTATACACATCCAACTGGAAAAGAGTGTGAAAAAATAGGTGTCTTCTATGCAGATGTTGGTGGATCAAAAATGAGGGGGAAATTCTTCAGAATCCTTGAATTATCTTTAAAAACTATATTTTTAATAGTAAGCCTACAAATAGTTCAGCTAGTTATGTGTGATACTGAAGCATAAAGTGAATGGGACATCTCCATCTTCAACTGTGATCGCTGGACATTCTATGAAAATATATTCACATCTTTTTTTTTTTGGTATTTCTACAGATCTTGACTACAAGAGTAATTTGCAAAGTATTTTCAAAATAGTCACTTACATATGTCAAATTTGTTTTCATAGTGCTGACTTTCATGTATTTGACCATACGCAGGAATACTGAGTGCTTTCTCAGACAGCATACAGAGGCATAATGTTGGAGGTTAGCATCTCTGTCAATGGAAAATTTTGCTCAACACATTTTTTCACAACTGTAACCCAGTGTGTGAGAAATTTAGCATTTATACAATGCAAAAATTTGCAAGAAATCCTTCTCACATTAACTACTTACATGAAATGTTTCCCTGTTTGCATTATTTCCTTATTTGGTGGCATTATTTTGCACTGAATGCTTTTTTCCATTGTTGGAATGCATAGGGTTACTTCCTTATATGAACTCTTTCATGTCATTATAATCACTGGTGGTGGACAAATTTGCTGCATTGCTTACATGCATACAGATTCTCCCCATTGTGGTTTCTTTCATGTGTTCATCAAGTACAAAATTAACTGAATGTTTTCCCAAGTTGCTTACCTACATAGGGTTTCTTCCCATTGTGAAATCTTTAATGCATTTACAAGCTATGGGCTTGGCTGGTAGATTTCCCACACAGCTTACATATTAAGTTTTTTCTCTATGTGGGATCTTCTAGGTCTAGAAAATGTGGATTATCAGCAGAGATTTTAAGTTATGACTTATATAAGTTTTCTCCCATGTGAATTATTTTATGGACAACATTACAATATTGATTGAAAGATTTTCCACATTATGCACCTATATAGGTGTTCTCCCTACTGAGAGTTCTATCATGTTTTTTATAACATGTTTGTGTACTGAACATGTTTCTAAATGTCTTGCATGATAAGATTTCTCCCTAATTTAATTTCATTGTTGTTTCTGACAGTGAATGTGTCTGCCTTTGCATTTGTGATGGTATATCTTAACATTAGGATGGCTACATGGATACAGGCCATGAATACAAGCTGAATACAAGCATAATTTGAATATGAATGTATAGACACTTCTTGGTAAACTGATATGAGTTACAGATTCTGATGGGAAAAATTGTTATGAGATAATTTGATGTCATCCATCAAAACAAGACATGGGCGGTTCAAAACATGGAAAAAATGATATAGCATACTTAAATTTTCATTAAAAAGTGCAACATCTTTATTAAGACTACAGACAGATAAAATATTTATGTGTAATTTGTAAAACAAGACAAAAATATTTTAGGATGATTCTGTTTCAGGTTGTCTTCAAAAATGTATGAATATATATTGACAGAAATTATTTTATAATATTTTGGCAGATCTCCTCTACATGACTAATTTTGAAATTATTTTCAGAATAGTCCCTTACATATATATGATTTCACTTAACTAGGATTACTTTCACACTTTTGACAATAGCCATGTATACTGAGTGCTTTCCCACATTGCATACATAACCTCGGGACATAGTATGACATCACTCAGAAGGTTAGCAGCTGTCAGCTGAACGTCTACCAAATCTTTCTTACATACAGTTACTCCCCAATGTGAGAGGAATCTTATGTTTGCCAAAGGGCAACACTGCAGCAAATCTTTGCCATACTGCCTACATATATAGGATATCTTCCTTGTGTGCAAAATTTCCCTATGGCATTTTTGTGTGCTACATATGATGTACCATTGTTCAAATGCATAGAATTACTACAGCGAGGTAGTTCTTAAATGTAGTGGCAATCTCAATGGTATGGAAAGTCTTCCTATATTCCTTATGTTCATGGGATTTTTTTCCCAGTGTGGGATATTTGGTTTTGTATAGGGAGAATGTATAAACAAATCCATTTACTCATTTCTCATATAGATAGGGAATTTTTATACAGAGAATTATTTTCTATACAAGAAAGCTACTATTATAGCTAAAATACATCACAAATTGCTTACTTCAATGGAAAGGGTTTATTTTCAGCACTTCTGCATACTGTCTGTTTTGGCATAATTGTTGTACCATAGATGTTCTATCCAGTGTGAGTTCTTTCATGAATAATAAGGTGACTGCTTTGACAGAAAGATTTCCCCCATTGCTCACATACAAAGGGTTTCTCCCCAATGTGAGTTCTATCATGAGATTTACCATCAGAGGATGTACTGAATGCTTTCCCACATTTGTTGCATACATAGGGTTTATCCCCTGTGTGAATTCTTTCATGTTTAATAAGGTCACTATTTCGACTGAAAGATTTACCACATTGCTTACATACAAAGGGTGTCTCCCCAGAGTGAATACTGTCATGTACTTTACAAGTAGAGGATGTACTGAATGCTTTCCCACATTTGTTGCATACATAAGGCTTATCCCCTGTGTGAATTCTTTCATGTTTAATAAGGTTAGACTTTTGATTGAAAGATTTCCCACATGGCTTACATACAAAGGGTTTTTCCCCAGTGTGAATTCTATAATGTGCTTTACAAGCAGATGCGTGATTGAATGCTTTCCCACATTTGTTGCATACATAAGGTTTATCCCCTGTGTGAATTCTTTCATGTCTAATAAGGATAGACTTTTGATTGAATGCTTTCCCACATTTGTTGCATACATAAGGTTTATCCCCTGTGTGAATTCTTTCATGTCTAATAAGGATAGACTTTTGATTGAATGCTTTCCCACATTTGTTGCATACATAAGGTTTATCCCCTGTGTGAATTCTTTCATGTCTAATAAGGATAGACTTTTGATTGAATGCTTTCCCACATTTGTTGCATGCAAAGCGTTTCTCCACAGTGTGAATTATTTCATGTGTAATAAGGTCACGATTTTGACTGAAAGATTTCCCACATTGCTTGCATACAAAGGGTTTCTCCCCAGTGTGAATTCTATCATGTACTTCACAAGCAGAGGCTGTACTGAATGCTTTCCCAGATTTGTTGCATGCAAAGGATTTCTCCCCAGTGTGAATGTTTTTATTACTTTGACAGCCACTGAGTTTATTGAATGCTATCCCACATTGCTTGCATTCATATGGTTGCTTTCCAGTGTGAAGTTTCTTATGTTTTTTAAAGATATTACTGTGAGATAATGCTTTTGCACATTTTTCAGTTATATGATCTTTCTCTATACCATATTTTCTAACAGGTTTTTCAATATTGGATGAAGAAATAGAATTATTCTCATAGTGTTTTTGTACATACGAGTTACCTGAATCGTGGTTTGTCTTGGGGGTTTGAACACTGTTAGGTGTTGTGTGGGCTTTGACACTTTTGTTACCTGCAAAAATTTTCTGCCCAGCGTGTGTTTGTTCACTAATATCAGATCTCTCCTCATATTGCCCATATTCACAGGGTCTCTCTACAGTCTTCCTCATTTCATGCTTCCAAAAGGACTGGAAATCACTGCAGGTCTCTACATCTTCATTACATTTATATTGCTGCTCTTCAATTCTCAAATAATTGCCTTCATCACATCTGTGAAGAAATACAAAAAAATATATCAATCACAATGGAAAAGGCTCCACATTAGCAACAATTTCTATGATGACAAATTTAGTTTTATTCCTGCTAAGTAATTCTGATTGGTTAACTGGCTCACTGCCCCACAGGACTTCTTTCAAAATACTATTCATTCTAAAAATTTTTACTGTTTTTTTTTTTTTTTTTTTTTGGTACCAGGGATTGAACTCACAACTGCATGCTTACAAGGCAGGCACTTATGCCCCTGAGATAAAATCCCTGATCCATTTAGGCAATTTAAATTGTTATGTGATTCTAATACTTAATATCATTTTAGGAGACTGGTACAAATGAATAGCAAACATTGATCATTTTTTTTAGCTCTTTGTGTCTTAATCTCCCCTTTGTCTATTTAGCCTGATCCTCTTTCTCATCAACAGAACATAAGGATTTCTGGTCATATATTCTCCCTCTTTACTTTCACTTCTCAAATAAGTTTTTAATTTCTCACTTAAGAAAAAACCTGAGTTGTGGCCAGTGATTTACCACAGCAGCATAAGCACCAGCCTGGCAAGCATAAGATTATGAGTTCATTTCTCTGTACCAAACAGAGAGAGAGAGAGAGAGAGAGAGAGAGAGAGAGAGAGAGAGAGAGAGAGAGAAACCTGTGATATTTCCATTTCTATGTCTGAATTACTTCACTTAAGGTTCAATACTTCTTGTTTCTTGGGAAATGGTATCATGGTTCCCTTTATAGCTTTTTTTTTACAACATGGAGTTAAACACAGGTCATAGAATGAACTACATTTGCTGATCTATTATTTGTTTTGTTGAGAAAGATTTTTATTGACCATCAACTTGTCCAAGCTGAACTTCAAGTTATCATCCTGCGATTCAGCTTCCCCAGCTGCTTGGATTGCAGGAATGCACCACCGTGATGAACTGACTTCATATTTTCTTTACCTTGGCATCCAGTGATGGGCATCTGGGCTCTTCTCAATGCTTAGCTACTGTGAGTTGATTCTTGTATTGGATATTGTAAATGCCCTTTCATGTGCTTTAACAAACAACACACTCTCATGCATCACTAACATTTGATGATTTTAATGTATTTGACAATATACTGAGAGAATCATTACACATAATGACACAGTACGACGCACTCAACAGTCAGGAGGTAGAGGCAGGAGGATTTCCCTGAGGTTCAGGCCATTATGGGCTTCACAGTAAGTTCAAAGTCAACCTGAACTACAGTATAAAATCATGGCTCAAAAGATTTAAAAAAGGATATCATTGTGGATGTACATGTGAACCAATATGAAATATGTTGTTTTAATTTTCAGACCAGTGAATATTTATTACCATGCTTGTATTTTATGTGTCCATCAACAATGTATGAGGAATATTAAACATGAACAGCTCAATATTCTATAGGATATTTTCAGAGTACTTATTGTAACAGTAGAATTCATTTTCATTTTGAATGCTGATGCTATGTGAAAATAATTCTAGATCATGAAAGTCTCAGTATTCACATGTATACATAAATGGTATTTTGAAGATGGGTTTTTATCAACTTTCACAATTTGTTCATTTCCTACATATCAGAATACAATATTTAATTTATTATCATACATTTATATGATGTTGATCATGAAGGCAATTTTTGAACTGATACATTAGATAGTGTTATTTACTACATAGCATTAGAATTACCTCTGATTCTTATATTTCAATATGTTTCCATGGATTCCCAGATAATACAAAGTAAAATCAAGTATATCTCTTGGTATTTTTCTGAGGTTAAATAAACTATAACATGATTTCATTTCTTCAATTCCTTTGTTGTAATGTTTACGCTCACACACTGACAATTAAGTAATGTCCCCTTTCTCTTATGTGTTTCAGTCACCTTATACTACTTGAGCAATTTTTGTCCTCTTCCTTAATTTGCTGATTATTCCATATTCTTCCTGTAATATGGACATAGAAATAAAATACAATTACTATAACTGTGCATTAAAATATCACTGATTTGATTTACACTCACAGTATAGTATAATCAGATGAGATACTCAAGCAAATGTTATTATTATCAAATATATTAAACTGTATCAATGAGCAATAATTAATGCTGTTAGTATAAACAAACATGTCATCCTTACTTGTTGCAGTAATATTCATATATGTTTCCCACATCACTCTTCTGTAGAGCTTCTTTTGGGATGGAGTCAGCAAGTCCCACTCTGCTGGGGTGAACTTCACAGCTACATCCTCAAAGGTCACTGTCTCCTAAATAATGACAAGGGTCCTGAAGTTCAGTCACACATGACCTGATATATCTCAGTTCCTGTCATAAGTAGTCTACCTGAAATTCATTCCTTCAAGTATTAACTGCATGTCATGGTCATCAAAACTCAAGTACATTCAAATATAGTCACCCAGTAACACTGTTGCTAGACTATGACACACTGCCAAAGCAATCACAGAACTGTAGCATGGCTTATCCTGCAGGGCCACCAATAGTGTAGTTTTTCACTTACTTTAAAGCAGAGCTCAAAGAGTGAGCATGCAAACCACCATTCACAAAATATTGGTTATTCATAACACTGAGTTTGTCTTTCTTATCAATAGCATTATGGTCTTGAATCTAGATTTATAGATAAATATTTAGTTGAATATGAAAAGATATTTCTGAATGATTAAAATTTAATGACAGAAAAGTTTTATTTGACCATTCTATAGACAAGGAAATAAGGGAAAATATAGTTATAAATCTATAGCTCAGGGATACTAAATTATCTTCTTGTACTTATATACTGGAAATTCCACTAGGGTGCAAAGGAAGATAATGTGGGGAAAAACATATATGAAATGCTTGAAATAGAGTGAAAATTGAGAAACAGAAAAGTAACTGATCACTAAATACTGATGGAAGAGTTCAGTACAGTGGAGTAGTATATGCTTGTACTCTCAGAACTTGAAATCATGATGTATGAGAGTTGCCAGAAATTTCATGTTTGCCATGCATACAGTGTCCAGCCTGGGCTATGTAATAAGGACAGTTCAGACTACAAAGTGAGGCCATTCATCAAACTCCTGTACCAAATGAAAATTAAAATTAATTCACAGTCATTGACAAATCACAACTTTGCACCCAGGATATATCTCAATGATAAAAGCACCTGTGTGACATTTGCAAGGGCCTGAGTATACTTTCCAGTACCAAAAAGAGAATTCAAATGCACCTTTGATTAGTTCCAACAACTGTAGATGTAAGTTAGAGAAAAAAAGCCCTACAAACATTGAATATTTGTGTGCAAGGAAACATTTTGCATAATAAACAGGAAAACATTTGACATTCAACATTCATATCAGTGGACAAAGGGATCTCAGAAAAGGAAAACAAACTTCAATTCATCCACATGGAAGTAGAATATTATGTCACAATTCAGCTGGCATTGTGCTCCTAGGCAAGAGAGCACAATATGTTTCATTTACATCCAGAAAGAAACAGATATGTCCCTAGAAATCTGGCCTGCACACTACCGTTGCCTATGTGCATTGGTGAATTATTGAAATGGGAAAGAGAAACATGAATTACTGTGCAATTTATACTGAAAAACACTCAGTGCAAAACTCTTCTGAAGAAAATCAAGCAGCCATGAAAATTAGAAGAATTTGAAATCTATGAAAATTGGAATTAAACAAGAAAACATTTATTTGGAACACAATACAAAGATTTTACATAGAGTTATGATCAATGAGTACAAATCTAAAAGTAAACAAAATTTATGTGACCCAGCAGAAATAATGAATAGAAAAGAAAGTCTAACTCACATTTGTGAAAATAACCAAACAATATTGAAGTGTGGAAGAAAAAATATTTAGATTTATTCTTAAATTCCACAAACTCCTTTTCTATGGAGTTTATGAAAATCTACAAACAAGTGAATTCTTTCTAATGTATACAAAATATTTTGTTCTATGATTACTTGAAATACACGTGATTCTTTCAAGTGAAATTACAGACTCAGAAACTGTGACAAGAGAATAAATGAGGGGGGCTGAGAAAATGGTGGCTTTCTAGGGGATCGGGCGGAGAGTCTCTCCAGAGAAATCATATTAGAAGCTAGAATATGACAATATGGAGAGGGCCAGACAAATGGGTAACAATTCTTATTAACCAAGACAGCACAGCTGGAGGATTTAAAGTCGTGCTGAGGCTGTGAAGGCTAATAACGGGAGGCTGCAAATCCCGCGCCTTTAAATCAGCGAACTGACCCGTGGACTCAACAGGAAAAGCTGTGTTGGCTTTTGGTCACTGCTGGAAACAGACCTGGGACCCTGAGAAGCAGCCAGGATAGCCCCGCTGCACCAGAGGAGATTGTAAAAGGCCCTGGAGCTCCGAAGCCGAATGCTGTGCAGTTTTCTGATGGTTCCTCGCTGTGCTGGGAGCGCGGGGAGGGCGGGCAGTGTGGTGTGCGGTGGACCCAGGAGGAGGACCTGCACTGAACCCTGGTGAGTACTGGGGACCCCGCGGCTGCTGGGGTTGGCCAGAGAACATCTTGGAACTGGGCAGTGCCCACAACCACTGGGACATCATTAACACAGAGAGTCTGGCGGAAGACATCTTATAGTTGGGCAGAACCTACGGCTCGGAGACATAACCAAGTCCCCTGTAGGGAGGACTGGTGGAAGACATATTGAAATTGGGCAGAGCCTGATGCCATGCTGGCTTCAGCATCATACAGAGAACTAGTGGTAGACATCTTGGATTTGGGCAGACCTGCTCTCCTGGCGCTCCTGTCACAGAGAGGTCTGGAAGAGAACAGCTGGGATTTGGGCAGAAACCTGTGCCATAGTGACATTAGTCAGCTGCTTCTGGTACAGGGAAAACTGGCAGGAGCTACTGGTGCTAAACTAAGCCTCTGCTTGTGGCCCAATAAGCAGATACAAATAGTCACAACTCAGTGACATCCAGAAAGTACAGCCTAATTTACGGATTGACTGGCACAGAGGCTGGAGGCTAGCCTGTACTGCCCCTGCATCCCAGTCTACCCCAGATAACAGCAAATTGGGGAGGACAGCAAAAACTCAAGCCAGCACGCTTCTGAAAGGCTCTAAGGAATACAGAGAGGGCCAGGGAGCCCAAGGACACTCCAGTCTGAAAGAAACCAGAAACATGACAAGAGATAAAAATTTAAAAGATCTCCAGCTGCCCAACATTAGAAAATAAGCCCAGGAGAAGTAAACACTGAAGAGAACAAGCACAGTAACCATCCAATACTTGACACAGCATCAGCCGGAATTAAAAAATACCTTCATGACCTCATAGATGAATTTAAAGCTGTACTTCTGATCCAAGTGAGGCAAGATATAAAGAGATTAATTAAAGAAATGACAACCCCCCCTAAGAGAACACAGATGGAAGAACTGAGGAAATCAGAAAAGAAAGAGAAACTTCTGAATAAGAATTTAAACATATTAGAATACATGAAACAGATCCAAAGAAATTACCTTGAAACTAAAAACACCATTGAACACTGGCAAAATGCCTTGACAGAAACTAAAGGCAGCCTTCAGAAACTTGAAGAGAGATTTATGGCATATGATCATGAAAGAAAAAGCCTCTTAAAAATAACAAGGAGCCAGAAAGAAACAATTCAAAAACTAGAAGATGACAAAAAGATACATAACTTAAGAATAAAGAATGTGAATGAGGAAGCAGGAGCAACCAAAAATGAAATACAAAGAAAATTCACAGATATATTAAAGCAAAAATTCCCATGTATAGCAAAAAGAAATGATATGCAGATAAAAGAGGCATACAAAACACCAGCTACCTACAACCAAAACAGATCTACGCCTAGACATATAATAATCAAGATTCCAGAAATCCACCAAAAGAACAGGACATTAAAAGCAGCCAGAGAAAAGATGCAGATTACCTACAATGGGAAAATTATCAAAATAACAGCAGACTTATCAACACAAACTCTTAAGTCAAGAAGGGAGTGGGGAGAAATATTCCAAGTCCTGAAAGAAAATAATATGCAATGAAAGCTCGTATGCCCATCAAAACTCTCTCTCAAAATTAATGGAGAAATAAGATGCTTCCAAGATAAAGAGGAACTTTGGAAATTTGTTGCCACCAATCCAACCCTACAGAGAGTGCTGAAGGACATTACAGAGAAAGAGAGGAAGGGATACCAGAATTGCACCAACAGCAGCAGAGTGGCCTCAATGAATGGGGCAGACAGTGGAATGAGGGAATAAAGTGGACAAATTATAGCAGAAAAGTGGAGTAGCAGATATAAGTAAGAGACGGTAAGCAATAGTATTTAGTACAGACAGCTCTGAAACACTATTTTAAAAAGGCAGAGGTCATTGTTAATGGTGTGTAAGGATTTAAAAGACACAGTAGTCTTATCGCCATATTTAGTTTGAATTTAATTTGTTCTGGTCTGTCCACTCATGTCAGATTTGAGGGCACAGACATCTTGACCTAAAAATAGCAGGTTATATTATGGTAACTATCCTTACTTTCCTATTAACTTAAACTGAAATCCTGTATTACTTACATTGTCTTACTATGACTGATCTTAATTGAATCCAATTCATAAGACCATGGGTTTGCCTTGGCTGATTTTATTTGAATTTGGTATGCTTGTTAGTATCAACCCTAAAAGTAGAGGCAACTACTCTGAAGAGGACAAGATGTAAAGGATATCCATACTGGTATTAACTATTAGCAGCCCTCAAATCCTACAATGCTTTCAAAGTTAAGTTTTTATAAAAATAGGTAATACTACGTTTAACTATAATAAGCCAATGTTGTGGACAATTCTATTGAAAATAACAAGAGAAAACATAGCAACTACAGAAGATCATTTATATTGTGGTCTTATATGTCTTATCCATTGCATGTTTTTTCTAGGAAATTGTTTTGCTGTCTTGGTACAACTTGGTTTTCCCTATAATACAGAGAGGATAGATACATATGTAGAAATTCACACATGAATTTTTTTAATTATTTATGGGAACAGATTATATAATGCAAGATGTAATGAACAAATACTCTGAGGAAGAGATGCTAAGAAACCCAAGGCTAATCTTGTAGCATTATGATATAAATTCTAGCAATACTATTGTTCACTGATTAGAATGACATTGGACTGGTTTCTTGAGTTCAATTTCAGCATATGTAGAGATGGGAACAACTATCACAATGAGAATGAGAGATACGATGGTGGTTATTATTGTCTTCCCTAATGTTAGATCTTGAAGAC